AATGATAACGGTGAGCGGTTTGTTCACGTAGGTGTAAATGTTCGTCACTTGCGAGCACTAACTTTCCACATAGTACACGCCGGAAGGTGACATGGCGCCCATCAGCTTCGGACCAGCCATGGACGCAAATCAATCACATTGCGATCAGTTACCACTGGAGAGGATGCGTTCAAAACTGTCGCTCGATTTGTAGCACGAGCGTGGACTCTGACTACACACTTGTTTGTGCCGACCTCCGGGTGGGTTTCGGTGAACGTCCGCAATGGCTCTGTGAACGCGTGGATATTCGCCAGCTGACGAAGCCAGATGTTCTGAATGCGTATCAAAGTACGCTGGCATCTGATCTGAGTAAAATCCACTGAACACAGTCGAAAATCACTGGTAGCATATCCGCCAGACGTGATTAGCAGCAAGCATGTCTTCGTGTGGCAAATCAAATTGCCAACCTAGCTATTGGGTATCTACACAGTCTCTGGAAGTTATGGATGCTCGCCGACGTGTTCCGGCTGGAAGCGGATACCATGAGACTCGCAAAGCTATCAGGGCGAAACTACGTGCTAGCCTGAAGAGAGATCGTGAAGCATGGTGGTCTCATCGTGCATCGGAGATAGAAACAGCCGCTGCGCTTGGTAGCCATCGGAAGTTATTCCGTTTGATACGAGAAACGGATAGCAAAAAAAACTGGTGTTAGCGAGACGATATGCGATGAGAGTGGACAGCTTGGACCGTTGGGCCGAACACTTTAGGAAGCAGTTTAATCATTCAGAGTTGCCAGTTTCTCCATCGGCTAATAAGCGAACAACTCTCTCGACCGTTCCCTTGGATGCGCCCTCGAGCGTAGAAATCAAAAGTGAGATCGGATGGCTAAAATTGAACAAGGCCGCAGGAGCAGATGGAGTTCATCCAGCTCTCTTTGAATTTGGGGACCAGCTCTTTTGCACGATTTACATAACTTACTAGTGTATCTATGGGAGCAGGAGACTGTCGTGACAGACTGGAGCACCTCCGTAATAGTTACAAACTTCAAGGGAGGCACCCGTTCCGAATGCGGCGGTCATAGAGGAGTCAGTCTGATCTCCAATGCCTCCAAGTTACTTGCGTCTTTCATCCTCCATAGACTGACTGGCACACGTGAAAGCCAGATCCGCGAAGAGCAACGCGGGTTTCGTTGAAATCGAAGCTGTATTGACCACAACTTCACATTACATCAGTGGTTGGAGCACCGGCATGTTTATCGGCAAGCCACCTTAGTCGTATTCCTCGACATCAAAGGGGCCCTTCATTCGGTTGACGGATGTGCTCTTTGGGACTGTCTACTCAGGAAAGGTGTGCCCGAGACATATGTAAACGTTATCCAAGGGCTATATGGGCGTAGCTCGGGCAGAATGAAGGTTTACGCAAGCTTTCGCAGCTCTTCAATATCTCCAGCGCTGTGAAACTAGGCTGCCCGCTGTCACCTTTCCTCTTTAACTTCGCCATTGATGAAGTCATGGAAACGGCGTTCGCCAGGCACGACATAAAAGGTGTGGAGCTGTTTCCAGGTGAACGACTTCTTGAATTTGAATATGTCGATGCTAATGCACTCATCTGTGACCGCTTACCAACGTGCCGAGTTGCACAGAATAAATTAGCTCTGGCAGTCTCATTTCGGGTTATGCTTTACACCATCGAAGTGCAAAGTTCTTTTCCAGGATTGGCAGGGACCCACTCCTGCATTGATCTTTGGTGGCGATAAGTTAGAAGTCGTATAGAAAGTAAATTATCTGGGCAACTATAATAGCGTCCGTGGGATTAAAAATGAGGTCCCGAACCGGGTCTCAAAAGCTCAATACACTTTTGCTAATCTCCGCCATTTGTGGCGCAGAGTTTACAATGCAGCCGTTCGTACAACCTTGCTGTACGGTTGGGAAACTTGGCCCATAAGATCGACAGACATAAAGAGGCTACTTACGTTCGATCATCGCTGTCTCCGCAGCTTAGCTCATGTCTGGTGGGAGAACCGCGTGAGAGATGAGCGGATTCGGCGTTGCGTATTTGGTGCAGGAAGAGCTAATGAACCGCTCAGCACCATTATATCACGTATCAGGCTCCGATGGCTGGGCCACGTGTTGCGCATGCCATTAAATCGACCGCCGTGAGGTGCGTTATTTGCTGGCCGGGATGGACGAAGAGGAGGGGAAGCCAAACGGGGACTTGGCCGAGAGGAATGAAGTCCGTCACTTCGAATTTGACGTCGATTGGTAATTACCGATGGCCTGGCTGGAGACCGAAGGATGATGAACACAATGGATTGGATACACTAGCTGGCATGGCGAGGAGTCGACCTCAGTCGCGTTTGTATCGTGAGTCTTTTTGTCCTTCCGCTTCCAATTTAGCTTCCCCCTCCAACAACGATAAAAAATGTGATATTAGCATTATGTTAATATAGCTTTCAAGTCTTCATTGCTTAATGTCTTACTCTTTTAGTACGGCGCATTAGCTGAAATGTGTTTCTCACCCTCGGTTAACGTGTATTGAAGAGGACTGTGGAATAAATTCCTCGTGTCTGGCTCTATCGATGATTATATGGCCTACAAGAGACAGCGGAATCTATGCAACAGCGAAACAGCACGAAAGCGTCCACAGTTCGAAGAGGAGTTGGCAACCTCGGCGAAGTCGGCCCCCAAGAAGATTTTTGCTTACATAAAACGACGCTTGAGGTCCGCAGGTGACCTAGTAGTGTTAAAGGATCCGAGTGAACAGGCTCTGATTTCCAGCACTGAAGGTGCTTCCGCATTGGCGGCGCACATCGCTTCTGTGTTTAGTGGTAAGCATGCGCTTATGCCAAACTCGATGTGTGAAGCTCTAACGAAATTCGAGTGCTTGGATTGCGATGTGGAAGATGTCCGCAGTCTACTCGCCAGTACTGACGAGACGAAGCGTGCCGGATCCGACGGCCTCCATCCGCTAAGTCGAAAGTCGCTTTCAGCAATCATCTCACCTGCTGTGACCGATCGGCTAAACAGATCGTTGTCTGAAGGTGCATTGCCGAGTGACTGAAAATGCTCAGTAGTGAAGCCGATCCCAAATGGAGGTGATGCGAATAAAGTGGACAATTATTGACCGATTCGTCTGACCCCTGGTGAAAGTGCTCGAGAAGATTGTGAAACAGGGTCTTCTTCAGCTATTAGAGTCGAAAGACCTCCTAACGCCCGCACATCACGGTTTCACGAAGGGTCGCTCCTTCACCACCAATCTGTTGTTGACGCGGCGCGGATGGTTGCAAGCGTCGAAGCGTGGAAATCAGTAGATGTTATCTACGTGGATTTAAGTTAAGCTTTCAATAAACAAACCATGAAGCCCTCCTCCACAAGCTGAGGATGTGTGGCACAGTGCACCGGTGGATGAGTGACTTCTTCATTGGGAGAAAATGGAGGGTACAAGTGGATGACCACTTAACGGAATGGTACCCCTCCCTAGTAGCGTACCCCAAGGTAGAGTACTGGGACCCATTTTGCTCCTGATCCACACCAACGAAAAACTTCAGCTCCTTCGGTCACCCTGTGCATTGTTTACAGACGATTTGAAGATTTGGAGAGTGATTGATTCTCCCGACGACTGTGACATCCTTCGGCAGGATCTCGACCGCTTTCCCATGTGGTCTGCAGAAGTTGATCTGCGGGTTAACCTGGTCAACTCGTCATTTATGAGTATGGAGAAGGATGGTAATGGATGTATGTATACCCTAGTCGGCGAACCGCTGTATACCACAAGCTCCGTAAAGGATCTAGGGGCACTCCCATGCTGTGATCTGAAGTCCGTCGACAACACGAACAGACCGTACGGAAACGGACTACGCCTGCTTTGGGTACTTAGACGCAGCTTACGCACTTGGTCTGAAGAGACTGCCACTCGCTTGTTCCCTTCCATGATGAGACTGGTGGCTGAGTGCGGCTCACTCGTCTATTGTCCGATCACAGTAAGTGAGGTGCATAGACTGGAACGGGTTCAGCATGTAGCTACCCGGCTCATACCCAGTTTACGAGGTATGTCGTACGTGGACCGATGTGGGAGACTAAGGCTGTATACCCTGTCATATCGTGGGCTCCGAGTTGATTTCATGATGACGCACCGGATATTGCACCTGGGACATTTCCCTATATTGTGGCCTCTACTGCACGTTCGCGCACCAAACAGCCCACGCGGACACCGGTACAAACTGGTGGCACCGGATTCGAAGTGTATCGCTCACCCTCTATGCTTCGAGCATCGAGGGGTGAAATAGTGGAACAAGTTGCCAGAAACCATAATCGAGATGAAATCGGTGTCGGAATTTAATGGATTCCTCGACGCCAACCTTGCGGATTACAGGTATAGGGAGCGTATCGCACCCGGATAGGATGTAATGCATCTGTAATATGTCGTCACCGTGCAAAAACATTCACGGTATTCCGTGTAGGTGCCCGATTTAACTACGACGGAACAACATAGATTTGTGTGTTCTCGTTCTTTAATTACAGTATTCGGTATTCTGAACGCCGCCGGCGGAGTTCGACTTTGCCTTCTCTGACATCGCGTAAAAGGGTCCGCAAAGGATAATACACAGTACCATTTTAACAACGCAGTTTTATCAGTATTGCTCAATCTTTACTCCAGTTGAACAACGGTCCGCGGTCGTCACCTAATCAGCGGAGGTTGGTGCGACCAAAAGGCAGAGGCCATTCGGTTCGCATCTGATCGGTCTCACTGGTACGTGTGCTTCATCCGATATCGCATTCCTGCCAGACGCAGTACAATTGAAATAGGGTGGCGGAGAGTTTACACAATAAATGAACTGCACAGCAGAGCATGGCATATAACGCGAACAAGCAGTAAGTTGCAAAACGCTTCATGATTTGTGGAAGACAGATGTGAGTTTCGACGTTAGTGAGACTGCAATACAGTCATAAACGACGAAGTAATCGCATATGGAAATAAAGAAAAAGCAAGAAGTCTAAAAAATATTGGCGTTTAACACTTACATGTCTTGAATTTACTTTCAGAATTATTCGACTCAAATTTCTGCTCAATGACTGGCCGGAGGATTGAATTGAACATAAGTGCTGAACATAAGTCGCCAGCCAAATATCGAATATCTGGGGAGATGCAGGGCGATAATCCAGTGAGGCTGTGATAGTGTCCATCCGGGATCAGGTGTTGCAGACAACCACCAAAGCCGGAAGAGATGGACAAAATATCCTACAAGAAGAAAGTGTCAAAGTGATACGCTCATATAGAGAGAAGAATAAACTGAATAGCCCTCGACCGTCGTATGAGAACAGGCTTAAGTGAAGATATGTTAGAGGAAACTCAAGATAATAGTCAAATACGCTAGGAACTACTGGCAGTGATTTTTAAAAAGATGTCAGAACAAATACAAACATCGTCATTACCGACAACATGCTTTCTTTTGTTTTCATTACCAATGTCTGGTACCGGTAGTCGACTGACATACACAGTAAATCATGTGAAACGACATAATTAACGACGAAGGATAGCAAATGAAGAGCAGACTAAGACCCAAACGCCTGAAACAAACATAACAATGAACTAGATGAAATACTGGTAGCTTGGGTTAAGTTTTCAGCTGCTGGGATGTTCGTCGAGCAAGACGAATTGTTAAGTTTCGTCCCCAGTCGATGTCATCAGTACGTAAATGTCAATGTGTACCCAACAGAAGTTGGTGGAAGGCAAATCTACGTATGGAGCTCGCCCATCGAATCCATTACTTATATAGGCTTTGAGTCATCAACTTTGCCTTTTCATGGTTAGTTACTAATACGTGATTGGGTAATTGATATAGGTCACCAAAACGTTGCTGCGACGTGGGAGTAATCGTCGCACTTGGATCGGAGCCTGTGACACAGAGACAGCATTCTGTTTCACGTCGAGTGTCCTGTTCAGTGTCCAGGTAGCAAATGTTCTATTTTCTAGCAGCGGATTTTAATCCATCTGAACTCTTTCTGTCTCAGTGGTTGATAAATAGGATCGATGTAGATGTGCACCCTGACTGAATCGTTTGTGGTGAATCGAACCACGATGAATTCCCGCCTCTTTGTGTTCCTGCTTGGGTTAGGAGCTCTGTTATGTTCCAGTCATAGATGTCTTTACTCACCCGCATGATTTGAGAACAGAGAAGCTGGATGCTGTTTTTGCATGTACTTTCAATCTCCGGTATCTTTGTTGGTAGTGTCCTGCCCGCTCGTCCTATATAGTGCTTATAAAAATTGCTACAATTTATTCTGTACACAATATCTCGCAATTTTGCGCTACTCGTTTCTTTTTGGTTTTGACAGTGCTCTTCCCAAAGTGACGATCGGCTTGTGGGCCACTATGATGTGGTGTTGTTTAGGCGATCTGGTTGTCATTCCAGATATATCCAAAAAACGATCTGCTTCCCTATCGTTGGCGCTTATGGGATTGTGATTTGGACATCTACAGATGAAACTTTGTGCGTACCCGCTGTGCCCGTACAATAGGAATAGGTGCTTTTTCTCTTCCCATTTCGCTTTTGTCGCACTGCAATGTGAGCCTATTCTAATGAGAAAAAGATGAGTATATCAAAGGCGCATCTAGGGGACTGATCGCGCAAATAGTCAAGCAAAGCTGGAGGAGGCTCAACTGCCAACAGTGGGCGCGCCAGACCGATGAAAGGTTTGTGATAAACAAACGTGATCAGTGAATGACTGCACACCAGCTACTTAACGATATTAAGATCGTCATGGAATAGAAGCCGGAAACAATTTATTGGACGTAATCGTGATGAGAACCAAACATCGATTTGCAGAGCACGCATACGGACAAAATTTTGAACATCAACAGCAACCACCAAAATGCCACAAAATGTTCGGACACTAATACGCAGAATAGAACCTCCCTGCAGTGCTACAGAAGCGAAACGGGAACCGGACTAAACTGCACTCCTTCGCCCTACTGATGGCTGGCTCACTTGCTAGTACTACGACTACTCAATTATACGCCACTCCCATTATTGTCTAATCGTTCAACGGTGAACAGCATTGCTTCTGCTGATGAAATTGTCACGTTACTATCTCGGAAACAATCACACAGCGCCCAACCAGAATAAGTCAGTGTCAAAAACATTTCCGTTCCCGCTGCTGCAATCAAGAACACAGTGTAACAGCAGCGTTCAACGTACGCACCCTGAAGTAGAGTGAACAACAAGTCAGTATTGCACGCACCCCAAGATGTCTGGTAACAGATGTCTGTCGCTTTTCCGAAACACAACTTTAGGATTCCAGCTAAGTCTACCAAGTGATGTCACCATTACATCCATACATCAGGTTCCATCTTCGCTTTCAGGAGATGTAGCAGTTGGAGAAGTTAGTGTTGGGAGCGCACTTAGTGCAAGAGCCAAAGCTGCCATTATTGAATGGAATCCAATCAACAGTCGCCTCTGTGTTATCAGACTCCACGTCTCGTGCAAGATTAGCAGGCGTCGAGGAGACAAACAAGCTCTTTTTTAAATCTCGGTATAGATCAGCGGCCACTAAACCATTTTCACAAAGGGCCGGATAAGTGACAAAATGGTAAGCGTGGAGCGTATGGTCATTGTATACCATACAAAAAAGACACAGAAAATATGACGTTCAGTGTCTACATGCTTTTCTTAATGACCTCAGTGAAGGCTGAATTAAAAAGAATCAGAACGCTAAGAAGATGGTGCCTTATAACATATTAAATATCCGATTAAAATACCTGTCACAGGTGGAATTACGGCTCACCAGAGGTACATGTAAAGTTCACTGGTACACCTGCTTATAAAACATATAACACGAGAATGTTCGCAATATATATATATATATATATATATATATATATATATATAGGTATATACTAGGTCTTTTTAATGTGGATAAAATTCATTACATGTTATTTGGTTTGTTCTGCGTACTTGATAATCTTCTCCTTACTTGCACACGTCGCTCATGCAAATTGTGGTAAACTTGCGTAATTGTACCGCGTGGTATTTTTTAAATAACTCGGACATTTTGTAATCACGGATTCACTTGTAACCAATTTCTTCTATATGCTCATTTAGCGAGTATTTATCTCGTCAAATGCGTTTACTTTATTCGATATCGGCATTTTGAGTGATTGGCTGTTGTTTGACATCCCAGGTGTGGTCGCGCTTGATGCGCATGTTGACAAGGTGCCTACCTGTCTATTACACACTACCTCGTCCATCTGGCTCCAGCAGATAGTTGGTCGTTGCTGGAGGGGACGGGGTGCACGGTCCTTGTGGCCGTGCTAGGCTCAAAGAGTGGTTCCATGCACTCAGTGTGCAGCGGACTACGGTCCAGCCACCGCCTTGTGTGCATTTGATTCCTCAAATACAGCGTGCTTGTGTTTACCTGTGAAGGAGTGTGGGCCGGCTACCTTGATGGAACGTGGCTCCCATTCGCATGCCTCCCGGTCTTATTCCTTCGGGTTTACACTGGATATGAGATGTGTGGTTGTAGCTGTGGGTGGTGCAGCGCAAGCCATCCATGGTCCCTCTGTAGGCGCAGGCGTCCTGTGGCTGGCCACAGTGACAGGCAAATCCGAAACTGGATGCCGCCAACCATATACAAGGGACAAATTAATTCAAGTTGATTCACTTATCAGAAAGGCAGGTGTGGCTTTTCAACCATCTGTGGAGACCACATAATATCAGCCTGTCAGTGAAATGCACTGCGTATAACTCTGCGATATGGCCGACGCTTGTCCGTGTTTTAATACCGGTGTTTACGGAGTAGTGCTCACATTTGGTTGGAACAACGGGTGAGCAATACAGAGGTCCACAAGCTGGTTTATGTTAAGAAGCCTTCTGATACCTCACCCGAGTGTTTGCCTAAGATGGAATGCTAGAGTAGCCTACGTTATGTCTTTAATGTGTCTGTTGACCTACGTTCTCGGCGTGCATTATACGTAATGGCTGCATCAAGTTGGGCGAAACCGCGAGGTGGTCAGTGGATCACGTGGCGTAGAGGGAAGAAGAAATTGACAGAAAAACTTGGTCAGGATGGTGGTAAACACAAGTAGTCGGAAGCTATCTGACAAGGTGTAGTCATGCATTCAGTGACGTTACTGCATTCACTTTCTTGCATCAAGTCGTTAATTTTCCCTCCATTCATGTTGGTTTAGCGCTCCTTTCTTGATTTCATCTTCGGATATATATATATATATATATCTGTAAATTCAACACGGCCAACAGTACAATTGACATAGTGCCGCAACGTATGGGAAATACAAAAAACAAATGAAAGGAGGGAGGAAAATAAATCAATGTTCATTAGAATGGAGAGTCACAACAGATCTGCCATTGCGCACGGTTTCTTGCCATATCCGAAAGTGTCTCCAGCCACGCGTGTTCCGGATCTTTCACACCCCATCAAGGGAGAGCGCGGGACCACGACTCACTTTGACGTTAGCTCCTTCATGCTCCTGGCCCAAGTCATACGTTGGCTACTATGCTTTCGTTTCCAGCAGACGTCTGTGCACGCGAATAGAGCACGGCGAGGTAAGCGATGAGTAGGCATCTGAAGAACATGCCCAAGCCACTGAAGTCTGTGCGGAGGAAGTACACTGCTCTTTACGCTCGAGTATTTGGCGGACGGAAAAGATGTGATCGATGCAACTCCGACTTGAGCGGAACCCAGCTTGCTCGTCACGTATGCTCTGTTCGCGTACCAGGCTGAGCATCCGTAAAAGAAGAGCTGCGAGTACGGTGGAAGCAACACAGATGAGACTAGTCCCTATGTCGGCTCAGTCAGTTCGGGTACACGTCTTGTAGATGAGCACGATATCTGCTAGGTTCCGATCAGATGGAATAACTTGAGTTACGCAGATCTCTTGGGGGAGAGAAGTTAATTGCTGAACAAGTGATGGGCCTCCCCCTTTGAAAAGAGCCGGAGGGAATTCATTTAGACCAGAGGCTTTGTAGTACTTTAAAAGGCGAAGCTCATGGGCAACCTCAGTCCCGGATGGTGATGAGGCGTCTAGACCCCAGGGAGCGCTCTGGGCTCCAGAATGGGAACTCATTGGTGCAACTGGCCAATCAAACTGCTGCTCAAAATGCTCAGCTCAATGTTTTAGTCGACATTCGTGACAGTGGATTGGCTCGCCACTGATTTTGCATACAACTTCGCTTACAGTCGGTCTTTTGCCACCAGTAGATCGGATCAAGCGGAAAAGTTTACGGAAATTCCCCGAGGTGGCCGTTCGATCCATGTCAATGAATTGCTGCGTCCATCAGGACTAGCGATCTTCCCGGAGAAGCTGTTTGGAGCTCAGCGTTAGTAGTCGTGCGTAGTGAATGGTATTTGACGCTAGCAGGAACTGCTCGATAGGCTTCGAAAAGTTGGAGGGATCGTGCAAAGATCCAACTTCGTGCTATCCGATCATTGTTCATTCGCATTATTTTTTAGTATTCTAAAGATGTGGGCTGCGGTAATTCGATCCAGCACACTTCAGTTGCAAAACCATAGTTGTCCAACTGAACCGAACTGAACTATAGGTCGTTTAAGATACAAATAAGAAACAAAAACAAAGTATTGAATGTAAAGGAGCATGTTTATAGGAATCCAAGCAGCAGAATAGGAAACCATTTTTGAAAGGACTCCAACTCCAGCTTGAGCTGGGATTTATAATTCCCCATCGCTTGAATCATGTTATTATAAGCGAGGTTTAGTTAGTTGGACAACCATAAAACTTGCGGATTCTTTCCCCAGAAACGTAGCATAAGTCAATGCGGTGGGCATCCAGTGATTATGCGAGCGCAACCTATCCATTTTCGTAAAGTGCGATTGTTAAATGACGATAGGGAAACGGAGAAATGTAACTGGATTAGAGATGTGAATAGCAGAACAATAGATAATATTGTGGTGCAGAGGGCGAAACCGATAGATCCCCAGGTGCCGTCATGGAGGTTGGGCAATATGTAAAGAGGGCAAGGTAAAGGATGAATATCAAGGGGCATGAAACTGAAAAGGGTTGAAAGAAAGATGGGTACCATCAACCGCAACACACTCTTGCTTACCGGGTAAAAAGGGTCTTGTAGTAGTGAAGGATACATAGAAACAAAAAAACATTCGATGCTTTCTTTCAAAGAGGTCAAACCACACATTCAGACGCCATAATGTGTATAAGTGGTGGTGTTATAAAAAAATACAGGTAAGCCGCCGCATTGTAAGAAATCTAAAATAGCTAGTAGCAAGAGTACAAACGAGAAATGGCAGAGCATGGAGAGGGAATGAGTAAACATACGCAAAAGCCTCACTTGTAGTCCGATGCCATCCACTTTTGAGTTCTCCGGTAAACGAGAGAGAAGAGCAACGACGGAGTGTTTGCCGATCCGGGGACGAATACAAACTCCAGATTCGTGCAGACGAGTTTGGGTGGCAAGGACAATGGGGATAGATTGACCAAAAAGTGGCGATCGACCAGGTCTTCACACGATGTATCGAGTCGGAAACGTGTGGTAAGTGTTAGAACAGGAAAGTATGTTCGCATCAGTCCAACAGTGGGAAATGGCAAATAATACAAAAGGGAACAGGCCGCACCTACTGATATTATCAGAGGCATTAAGCTATTATACCTATTTTAGTTCAGTAGGGGTAGAGATAGCGATCATTATCAGTCTAAGTAACAGCTAGGTATCAACAAATCGTACAGGTATTTCTCTGAATGACAACGACAACGCCAAGCAAATGAAGTGTAGGAAGCTGGGAAGAGGGTATCAAATAAACCAGAAAAGCTCTAAGCGAATAACCAGCATAGATGCGTCAAGAGAGTTGACGATAATTGCCTATTGCTTCAGTTACCTAGATTTTTGGAGCCCGACTGGTCCACCAGACTTCCCTGTCAGCATGCAGACTCCGCGCTTTAGTTCGCGCCTAACAGTCCGTCTGGTTACGTTGTACGCAGAACCAGCCGGAAGTGTTCTTCTAGATGCAAACAGCTTCATAGACCCTATGGATGTCTAGTGACTGATGCGGTGGCGATTGACAGCGACGCAAGCGGACTCCCGCAAGGTGTATGACAGCTGTGTCATTAGGGCGAGAGAGAGCGAAATTGACCACTATTATCATGATGAAGTGAATCGACACCGGAGCGATCTCAAGTAACCCCTTAGATATCCATGCCAGGAAAAAGAGAAAACATGAGGGAAACCAATGGGATCATCGCTGATACTCTCGGGAACCTGCAGTGGGGGACACCAAGACTAAAATAGTATTTTACTATCAGAAGACTAGTTCACAAGGGTTCTGAAGGTGAAAACACATAGGTCCGCGAAAATAAGGTTAACCACGTTGCAGGAAATTGAAAGTGTTTTTTCAACACGCACAACGGCACCTGTGTAAACGAGGGGCCATATCTTGCACCAAGCAACAACATCATTGTGGCATAATAGTTGAGGTGTTGCTCACCTCTAGTACCGTATATGAGGATAATGATCATTGAAGTGTCTAGAGGAACGTACAAGGTTGGCGGTTTCGAAGTGGCTCATCGTTGGGTCCGCACAAAAGCTAAGCTACATACTATCCACTGTCAGTGAGTCAGAAACGCATTATGGGAATTTTCAAAGCTTGTCGGTTGTTTCCGCTCGATGACAATCTGCGTACACCCGAGCTCACGATCCGCCCTGATGGGTCTTACCTGCTCAGTGTTGACAATTCTGCGCAGTGGACTGGACCCAACACTAATGTGAATCGATCGGCTGGCTTTAAGATAGGGAGAGATGCAATGGTGCCTTCTCGGACCGAAATGCAGGATTGGTGCATCAGGCTGCGGATGTCGTCCGGTGCCGAGAATGTCGAACACTTGGGGTTTGAAGCCAACGCAGCGCAAAAGGTACCGAGAACATTTGTGACAGAATGCTTGGTTACATCTCGACGGCAACGCTGCAGGATCCAATTAGACGCAAATTGGGCTCAACACAAAGGGTGAAAAATTCTTTTCGGGTAAAATTTCATCAGACCCCTAGGTTTACATGATGGACTAGGAACAGCAGCATGCGCACAAGCCACCCACAATCGCGATTTCCCTTGGCTCGAAACCCGTCTTCGGTTCCGTTGGCTGTACCAACCTATAGCAATACACATTCTAGTGAATTGTATCAATGAAGTTGATTTGCGAAATCGGCCTAGTGCCATTTCCTAGGAAGGGCAACGACGTGTAGCCATCCTCTATGCTCGCCAATAAAATTGGGGGTGGATTAAATATTGCTCGGCTTCCCCGTTGTTCCACCATGTGATTAAGCTGAGCGAAAATGAATACCCCTACGGAATCCTGTGGAGTGAAGACTTTACTGAGTGATCGATCAATAAACAGCAAACGTATTCCAAAGAATTTTTTAGATCGGAATATCCTTTCATGCGAACAAGTGGTGAGCATAGGTATAACGCAAGACATCTCGGTATGTTCCACCAATTTAAAAGGCGAACAAAATCTACAGGAATGGACCGACGATTCAAGAATCCTCATCAAACCCAAAAAGCCACTTGTAATGGTCTATTCGTTCGCATGTATTGATAGTTGGATCGACTCTGTTAGTCAGGACATCGAAGAAGCTATTGTACATCGCAATCTCCATGCGGTGTTCTGGAGTCACATTCAGGTATACAGATGGTAAGTGCGCTGCAATACGAACGGTGTTGCTGCAAGGACAGGAGGTGGCCACTACTTGCTGAAAATACATGGTGGTTGACTAGGGTTTGCGAAGCAACGGATTACACAGTAAAAGAACACAGGGTATAGACAGGTAATGAGTATCGCACGCCCGCACTCCACGATGGGTGTCGAACATTTTTACACCTCAAAATGAATTGCGGTTCAAGCGGAGATTGCGTGTGGTAATCCATTCACACAACTAGTGCTTCAGAATGACCCTTATGCATACATTGACCTCGATCCGGAGGATTAAAGGAAAGGGCTTTAATAGGGCATTCTAACGTTCTAGGCTCCAGTGAAATTGCTGCTATCTCTACTTGAGAGGCAGGGCGGTACGAAACCGATTTAGAAGTATAGTGTAGTGTACGGAATGGCATTTATTTCAAATTGGGTCGTATTCCAGATTGGGTTTGCAAACCGTAATCCATGCACAGACACATGACATCACCACATATAGAGTAAATCTGGTGTTCGCCAAGCAACGGTTGGAAAGGGATTTTCGTTGAACAGGAACCGTTTAGGTTGGCTAAGTTATGTCCTTCGTTAGCCTGCCCGTCGTCTACTTTGGTGTACAATGCGTGTCAGTGTTAAAGCTGGTGTGGTGAAATTCTGGTTGACGACGTACCAAAAAGTGTGAATAAACTGAATGAACTTGCTCAAACAAGTACTTGTCATCTTCGCGGATGTAGCTCTCGAGATCAACCACATAACTGGTTGGAGACCTTAACAGACGTGCTGCAATGGCGCGGCCAATGGTGCGAAGTAATTCGGTCACTGGCAGTTCGACCACATTAACCTTAATCCGTTGCAATCTACTCTCGGCAATATTAGTCAACCTCACCATGGCCACGCAAGTTATGGGGATTGAATCCAGCACCCTGAAATGAACGTCTGTAAGATGTTGGCTAAGTATATTCGCACGTGCTCTCGTCCCACCCACTGACATTACGAACCACCAGGCTGGGTATCAGGGCCTGCGTGAATCCGGCAACCGAAGTAGCTATCAAGCTAACAATGCAATTTGGGAGCTAGAATAACCGCTGTGCGTTTGCATTGAGGAAGGGCTCTAAAATTGGACTACGGTCCACTCTGAAGTGAACTTTGATCATCAGAAGTGCAATTGAGGTGAGGATATTTTCAATACAAGTCTCTCTTGCAACACAGTGTAAGCCGCCAACCAACTATACCTTCTGTTCCCCTCACAGCTCAACAGAGTTTTATCTAAGGAAAGAAAACAAAAACGGAGGTGATCGTGAAGTTGTGCCATGAGAGAGCAACATCCAAAATACTTTTGATCCAATAATTCGTATTCAGCTTAGCGTAATCAAATTACAATCAATCAAGTCTTGTGCTGCATCCCAATAACGATCCAAATTGTAACTTCGCGCAAAGAACCTACTCGACCTCATATGACAAAGCATAAGTTAACACCGCAGCTAATAGAATACAACCAAGTAGAGTAATGATTCAATGATATACGCATATTGAACAAGTCAGTCATTTACAGAATCCCGAAGCAACCGGTGCTTGACATTTCGGATAACTAACGAGTTAACTGGCGGATAAGCTAACGTGAATGCCTCGTTAATCTGGTATGCAAAGTCATCGTCATCATAATCCGCAACAGCAGTAGTAAACCAGTGAGTTGAGCTGAAGCTCTGTTGCAATGTTCAGTTAAGTTCAGTTGAACAGCTATGATCCGAGCACCGAAGTGCGGTGGATCCAGTTGCCACGATGTATATCTCTAAAATAACAGTAAATAACAAAATATTGGAATATGTTTGGAACCGACTGTGATTTCATGATTTCAGAAGAAGCTCTTGTGTCAAGGGCGAAACGTTGCCACAATAAAACCCTACCAAAACCGATTTGTATACAAAACCTTCTGAAATCAGTAAATAACAAAGTCAATAAAATGAGGATGAATAAAATTAGAATATAAAAATTGGAGTCAAGGAAGTGTGTTAATCAGGATGGAATGAAAAATACCGACTGGATGCAAGGAACCGAATGCAGGATTACCACTGGCTGCGCGACTGCGCCATGTCTGACACGGTCTCCAAGCATTGATGTGGACCATCCAGAGGATACATCCACGAAGATGACACGCACCAGTCTGACCGAGTGCCTCATTCAATTTCTTCATGCATCTATACCACGTCATGGACTGGCTACCTCGAACTTTCGAACAACTCGGCGCAGCCACGGCGAATAATGCACGCCGAGGAAACCGGTCTACGGGTGTACGGTGGACATGTCCTAGCCAAAGTAAACGATTAAGATTCAGCAAACCTCCGACTGAGGCAACAGAAAGCTCCTTGTCAAATATCAGCTGGCGGGTAACAATACCGATGGTCAAACATGGCGATGCGCTCAATGTCTTCACTGCGAATTGACCATGTCTCTGACTTGTGCAGTAAAATCGCCTTGTCGCAGAGTCACACAATAATTTTCACAGAAAAGTTGAATGCCCCGCCGTCTCCATATATGGCTGAGCATGTGAACAGCCACATGTGCCTTTCTGATACCCGAAGTAACTGCCTCAGTGATGTGACCACTAGAGGCGACACAACCACCAAGGTAAGTGAACCGATCCACCAATTCCAATGGCTGTTCGATGATAACTAGAACCGGAGGCGTTCCGGTCCAGTCCTGCAACAGTACTTCGCATTTCCAAGTGCAAACCCTTTGCAGTGACATGGAGATTCTCCGCTATGACTGTGTAAAATATGCTGAAATTTTATTAAAATTATAGCTTTCTTATGTATTAGGGAAT